CATTTTAGGCAACTAAGGCAAAAATGAAATTAATTTAGAAAATCTTTTCAGGACCCCACTTTGAGTCCCGACCCCAACTTTGGGAACCACTGGCCTAGAATACAGTCATCCTAAGTCATGCACACAAAAACGGGCTGTAAATTTTCTAAATTGTTTATGCAAATTGCTTTCTGGTGGCAGACATTGAGAATTCAGTGATTTTGAAACTTAAAACTTGGTGTGTTTCCTGCTACTCTCCACACAGCACAGCCCAGTCTGATTATTGTATTCATTAAAAGGGCCAATATTATGTGTTTCTCAGGCATTCATTTAAACACTATACCATAATAAAGTATCCATGTCACCTTTAGTTGTTATTAAAATGCTGTTTTTATGTTTAAATAGAAAATAAACATATCTTCTCATCACTTCCTCTTCTAAACGCCTTGAAATTGGCCTCYGTCTCTTTAAGAACCTCCTTCGGCTTCTGTCCCGCCCATTTCAGTGCGGAGGGGTGGGTGTTTACTTGGCATCTGAACATACATTTTCTCAAAAGGTATTTTGAATCAGGAAAGAGCTTCACTGAGTGAGAAGTAGTATTGAGAGCTCAGCAGACAGTTTAAGTTTCACTTTCACTTTCACTCATTTACTTTGTTACTGCTGAGAGCCTGCAGGAGTCATGGGCGGGGTGTGTGGGGCGAGGTGTGGGGGGGTGTGCTCCTTGATGAGGAAGTTCAGCTTAAAGACACGTCCCAGAGGCGTTTCTGGTACCAAAAGGCGTTTCTGGTCCCCACCTGTCGTTTTGCTCCTCAGCATGGCTTCCTAAAAACACTGCAGGATTTCTCAAACATGCATGAATGAGTCAAAGCAAGGCTTTGGGCATGTTTTTTATGAGAGTATAACTTTATAACATGATATAAAACTCAAAAAAGTTGATTTTACATGATATTGCCCCTTTAATGTACAAACCCCAAAACCAGAAAAGTTGGCACGTTGTGTAAATTGTAAATAAAAACAAAATACAATGACTTGCAAATCATTTTCAACCCATATTCAGCTGAATAGAATGCAAAGACAATATATTAAATGTTCGAAAGGAGAAACTTTATTTTGTTTTGCAAAAAACCATTAACTTAGAATTTAATGGCAGCAACACATTGCAAAAAAGGTGGCACAGGGACATTTTTACCACTGTGTTACATCGCCTTTCCTTT